AAAACTTCGAATTTCTTTCAGAATTTTAGGTTAAGTCCCGCCTTAATTAGTCCCACGTTGTCTTAATTTTACAACGACATCAACCAACTTTTCCGCCATATTGATTTTGGGTTCATGTCTTGTTGTTTCCAGGCTCCACAGCAATAATGCTGGGGTACCGGGCCTCCTATTCAGAGACTTCTTGTGAATTTTTTTTTAGGTTTTATTTTTCAATCCGACCGACCGACCCAATATCAGGAAACACATTCGATGCTAAACGGAAAAAAGGGGAGGGTCAAGTAAACTGATGAGGGTAGAGCAGATTGCTTTTAGACCTATTAGTTCTTAGTGATTTTGTGTGCAGCACAAGGGCAGAACAAATTTGAAAAAGTCTGTGTGACGTTTTCATTTGAGATCAAAAGTTCTTGCATACTTAACAAGCGACTTAGTATTGTAATTTCAACAGAACAGCACTATATTCTTTGGCCTCTGTCGATGTAAGTATAATAATATCTTTTGCCTTCTAACTTTCGAATTTATGCCCATGACAGTCTTGACCATTACTGACAGAAGTACTACCTATAATGGAGAATTCCAAGACCTCGCAACCTTGTTGAAAAGAAATTTTCGATCTTATCGCGTTCATGAGGACGTAGAATTAGCAAAGTTCACCGATCACAAAATGAAGGATCGGGTGAGTCAGTCATCAACACCGGCAATGTTTGAACCGTTGGAATATTTCAAGAAATGATTGATCAAGTCATTCATATTATCAGCATGAAGACTTCTGAAAGAGTATGTAGTAGAACGACTTGTAGTCAACATCAAAACAGCGTCCAGATACATTCCTTTCCTAAGAAAAGAAAAAGCAAGAAAGTGCTGTGAGTTATAGAAAAGGTTGCATAATGTTTCATGGCTTGATTTGTTATCATTTTCATGAACTGTGTAAAATGCATAGCAGACGGTGTAGAAACGGTCAAACGAATAATTTACTTCTAATTTACAAAGTCTACTCTAGCCTCGCCTAAACGCGTTCTGTTTTTAGTGTCTTCCGTTTAAAAAAGCTTCTGGTACAGGCAGGTCAACATGGAAATGAACTGCATATATAGTGAGCTTTTCGATCATGTAAATAGACTATGACCCATTTTCTTATTATAAACTTCTGCACCTGGTGCTCGGGATAAGATGATTTTGTTCTTCTGGAGAGGAGAGAGCTAATAGAGAGCGGTTTGTAATATAAGAGCACTTCCATAGAGGGTAAAATACTAAAAACGTTAAATAACAAAGGGTTGCAATCATACCAAGAGTCAGAGGTGTTGGATGATGAAAACAGAAAGATGGGAGGGAGGGAGGGCGTGGGGATAAACGCCTGGAGGATTTTTTTTTGGTAATGTGAATGATATAACGACGATTCAAGGATGGAAGCGATCTACGTACCTTAGACTGGACGCTTTCTTTATTTGGGAATACGACAGGCTGAGCAGTTGAGAGGCGTCACGGTTTTCAGATGAAAAAACTAACAATCCCTGTGAATTGAAAGCCAGTCTAACAGCTATCTTCGGAAGGTTTGGCCCTGATGCTACAAATCCGTCGAACATTCTGGAGAATTCTTTGAACCAGTGAGTTGCTGCATAGTTTACAATGTCCTTTTTAACCACTTCAACAACAGATCTTTCTTGAATACGGGAGCTCTACAGTAGCGGCAAAACAAATGATAAGTTTAGAGGGGGTCGTTGTCAAACGTCATAGTAGCAATTAACCTTCTGAAAAACGCAAATTTAAGCACAAGTGCAGTCGATGATATATGAACTGAATGTAATCTTGACTACCAGCTCTTTAGGTGGCTGAAGCTCTCATGTAAAAACACTCTGAAGGTATCCGACTGACATTTCGTTCAGTTTTAAACTATTTTGTATCCGACATTTTAATTTACTAAATAGAGCGTCTAACAACCACGTGTGTAAATCATTGACAGGCCGTGACTGACATGCCGTGACTGACTCAACATATTGGAGTAAAAGATTTTTATTTTCAAATTATCGTATCCACGAAATCTTACTAACTGCGCTGTTTACTGGCTAAAAGTTTCCCTTGATAAAATAACAAAGAATCTTACCGCATTAAAAGCATCCTTGACGCTTTTTATCAGGTCATCTTCTGCAATGGTGGTCAGCACGTATGGTGGAAACGAATCTTGAACAACTTGACGGAGCAAGTTTTCTTTGATTTCATGGCCATTCTCAATGTAGTATCGCTTGGCTATTATGCTAATCATTTGCTGCTGCTGCATAAAAAAAAGCAAAACAGCTTCACGATAATCCAACATAAATGACTCATTTCTCTTGAGCTTTGTTAAATTCTCGAAAAAGAAAGATTTCTCCAATGCAGAGATTTACACTAAACGTAGGGAGTTGGGGTACGGAAGCCAATTTGTTAAGGACCTTGAAATATCAGTTGAAAAGAAAAAATTAACACTCGGACCCCGTGGGGACGGTTTAGGAGCTCGTGTCTTACCTCGCAGATATACTCCTCAGCGCGGATTCCTCCCACAATCTGGTGATAGATTAAATCAATGGCCACCTTATCACCGCTGAGATTATCCGTGGGTGCAAACAAATCTTTTCGTAAAAACAAGTGCCAATCATTAGGATCGCTTAGCTTTTTTGAGCATGCGTACTGTTCAGCTAAAGAGACGGCGTCCAAAACACTTTCATTTCCGCATCCCCAGTTGCTCACCTGCAAGAAGAAATCAACAAGCGCGCCGAGTAATAAGCCACATATCAACCATCAGTTGCACCCACAGTAAAAGACTCCACACGAGCTGGCTAACAGAATGCCACCCGAAAACAATCCTCATACAGTTTTCTTGACAAGGTCTAGAAACATTGGAAACTATTTTAATTTTTCGTTGTCAAATATTTTGTTGCTCGGAAATATTAGCTGGTCAAGCTACTCTGAAATTCGAGCTTAAATAAAGTTTATGTATGTATGTATGTATGTATGTATGACGACGCTATTTGCAAAATAGATAATTTAGGTTGAACTGAAAGTGACCTCAGAATCAAGTTCAGAATCAAGTCCGAATGGTTGGATTACTTTTCATTTGAAAGTCAAAAGAAATGCGCACTGACTTTAGCTTTTTATTACTACGCGTAGTGACCGGTAAAAAAAAAACACGCCAATCTCTCAATCAATCAGTGTAAAACCAATATTCGTGACTTGCTCGCACGCGTTTTACGGAGTTGAGCGCCGGCTACACTTACTTAGTTCGCTGCATTGTCTCAGCTTTTTGTGGTTGGCCAGATTGATTACTTGGGTTTTGGTTTTATAACATTCAATTTAAACTTCTCTCTATGTAGTGCTCACTCGATCGTTCTAGACTGAATAAAAAACTGATTATAAATTGAGCTAACCTGAGTTAAAGCTTCAATAAAAATGGAAAATCCAAAGATATCCCTGAGTCCCAGTTTGTTTTTAATTAACAGACACAGTTCAGCACATGTTATGGCGGGATCCACTTCAAATGTTTTGGTAGAGCCATCCATGAAGATGACAGGTAGGTTGAGTGGTGACTGTGTTTTGACGGCCTGTCAATTAAAAGATAGACTTTCGTCATTAAACAAAGTAACTGAATGATCTGCAGCAACGAAAAGAAATGAAAAACAAAACAACAAATGAAAACGACATAACTTTTACTTGAGACCTTGAGAGCTCCATTCTCTTTCCCTTTGACAGGGCTACGTTGGGGACTTACAGGGTTCTCCTATGTATGTGGTACAGTGATTACATTTTCTGACTGACGTTTCAATTTTCAACTCTGCTTTGATGAGGAAATTCCTTTTTCTAATACCTTGTGGAACTAGGACTGAAGTAATGATAACGGTATTCAAGAAATCATCAGTTTGTCTTTTATGGCGGGGTTTAAAAGCATTTCTTGTTTGAGTGAAGATGGAACTTCGTTTACGAAGAGATTCGTTCCATACTAAGATCGACGACGGGACAATTAGGCTTACAAACACTATAGTTTATTACAAGGGGACGCGAAAAAAATTCCAAGTTCTCCCAGAAGGTGCGTAGTACTGACTCTTACGATATCTATTGAGGAAAACCTTCCAACCGGACCTTCCAGTATAAATCAAAGTCGTACATGCGCATATTATCGTGACACAGGCCCTTTAATTGGTTAAGCTATTAAGACGCCCGAAAAGTAAGGCGCGGTCTGTATGTTTACGTCATAAAGTAGGTTCATCAGGAGAAAATAAATGCGACAACATGTTCTTGGCACTCCAACAACGCATTATGATCAGCTTGCACCTGAATGGATGTATCTTATTGTGCGAATCAATGCAGCACCATTATATATGAAAGGAATTACTAAAACTTGCTTGCCTCTAGTTCAACAGTTGTAGGCGGCTGCTTTCTAAAACCCACTTGAAGAGTTCTTTGCAGAATCTTATGGCAGTAATCCCCAAATTGACCAGGACCCTGCTTCAGAAAGTTTGTGAGATAATTCAGCAGCTGAAAAACAGAATCACTGGAGTCAGCTCAGTACTTGAAGAAAATTACATTCTGTCAAGAAGAAAATGCGAATTACCTTATCTGATGGCGGGAAAACACCGACACAGAGAGCCAATAGGATCCAGCCACGTGCAAAACTTGTTTGTGAACCGTTTTTTACAAGCTGACGGCAAATTTGGCAATATATTTCATCCCTGAAAAGAGAAATTTAGCTAAATTACCTTTGGTAGCTATTCGTCATAATTAAAAGTTCAAAGAATCAGCGATGGCATCGGAAGATTGAAAAAATTAACATATACAACCGTCTGCCGATACATTGTCAGTATTGAAAACTACAAAATGTCAAAAATGAAGCAAGCGGCGGATTCATGTTCTATTGCAAGCTATAGTTTAATTGAACGGTCAGCCCTTAGGTTTTCATCCGGCGAGGCGCTTGAAGATTACTTTACTAATAGTAACAAGAATAACACAGAGTATCTTCAAACAGACGGAAAGCAAACAGACAAACAAAAAAGAACAAACAAACAAACAAACAAACAATCAAATAACCAAATACGCAGCAACAAAAACAGCTAAGTGATCCTTACACCATATAATTTTTTACCATAACTGCAGAAATTCTCGCGCGCTCATTGGCTAATTTTTATTGTCAATAAGCGGACAGACACATGAATTTATAATTTATGCGATGCGTCAACAAGCGAGAACGGACRATTTGACAATTTGTTATCGTAAAAAACAAATTGACGTCAGTTTTTCATGCGTCTGTCCTGTTATTGACAATGAATTTCGTCATAACATTGTCAAAGTAGTCTGCGGATCCACTGGACTATCGCCTCGTGGATCCCCAACTACTTTGACAATGTTATCACGAAATTCATGATCAATAACAGGACAGAAGCATGAAAAACTGGCGTCAATTTGTTAAATTGATCATGTCGTTCACCTCAAGGGTGGTCTACGAATCCCAAAACTGGCGATAAACTGTACTTTCTCGATGTTTGTTGTGCAGCGATTCATCATGACTAGCGCTGGAAGATTGTGTGACGTCACAAAGGTCGTCTGAGCCTGACAGAGAAAAAATAATCATCATTACTACTACTCTGTTATCTCTTGATTAACTTTGTGTCGACAAGATAAGAACTGTCTCACAATTAAGTTCTCTGAGAGTTACTATGAACAAACTATGAACATAATTGGAATGATAATGACAAAAAAAAAAGCGATCTCCATGAAACAGGGCAAAAAGAGATAACAGACTGTGATAAGGGTAAACTTGTTACTTTAAATTGCAGCAGTTAAATTATATCAGTGACCATTAAGCATTCTTGTAATCATTGCTTTGAGGAGGGCGCGGAAGGGGGGAGGATGTTGTCCTAATGGTCAGCTCGATAGTTTTGTTGTTTGGCAAGGCGTATATATTGACCCATCCTCTACGCCTCGCACCACCCATGAGTACAAGTGAGCACTGGGTGATCCGTTAGGACTGCTTCATTAAATTAATGTTAGCCGGTGGGCTAATTGAGCGTCGATGGACTGGCATCCCTCTTATTTGTTTGGTCCAGCGGAAACAGCGTGCGCCTGGGCCCGAGCACGTATTCGTTTTCTCTGGAGCCCGTAAATACAAGATTCGTTCTACAGAAAATCTCTTAAGAGCTACAGACCCACTACTTCACCGTTGTACCTTTTGAGATTCAACTTTCCTCTTGAACGTGGTGCCTGATGAATAAGCTTTGTTGCTCGGACTTGTAATCTCTGTTGTTTCTGAAATCTTTGGAAAAAAAATTGAATTCCAACACTTTTGTAACATTATTTGCTGGTAAGAAGCAGTATGGATGGCACCGTATACACGGAAAAAGGAAAAGAAAAAACTTTTGAATTAGCAGTGGCACATCCATGGAGTGGATATGTGTTCACTGTTTTCACGATATACTAAATACCTTCGCATTTAAAAGGCTGAATAAGATCATCTAAAGAGGTCAATTTGACCTTATACTGAACATGGCAAGTTAGAACAACAACAACAACAACAACAAAAACCTTTATTAACGTTATAGAGTTATACCTCAGTGTCTTCCTCTTCGAATTTTGGCTCTCCCATGTCCCTCATGAACCGAAGTATGGCGACAGAAATCGCACAGGACGCCTTAAAAGCAAGGAAAGGGAACGAATCAGTAAAGCATCTAAAATGTTATACAAAACCAGGCATCAGGCCTGGTAAAAGATCATAAAAACAGTTGGTACTAGTTTTGGAAAGACACTGATACAATGAAAACGACGTCTCGTCAGAGAAGAAGTTCCATTTTGATCGGGTTTCGATGGGTAACGAATGTAACGAGGAACTTTATAAGGTTCCTTAACGTGCACTCTAGGTGTAAGAGAATAGTACATAAGCAGGATATCAGCTGTCTTACAGAGTGAAAGCGAAATAATGAATTATAAAGCAACAAACCAGTAAAACTGAGACAGTTATTAATAATTAAAAGATGAGAGGAATAATGCAATATTGCGAAGACCGTAGTCTCTAGTATGACTTCTGGTGAAACCAAGTATTTCATTCCTTTCTTGTGTTTGACCTAGCACCCATGTTCTACGCATGTTCGTGCGTAGCCTTCTCTTCTCTGTTCGTCCCTTCTACAGCATGGTGGGAATACTTCTCCGCTTGTATCACCCACAAATGTAATAAAAACCATAAATGTAATACCAACCATATATGTAATAAAAATTGACCATAAATGTAATACTGACAATAAATGTAATAACTTTTAACCACAAATGTAATAAATCCACCAGCCATAAATGTAATAAAATTTGACCATAAATGTAATAAACTGAACAACCATAATTGTAATACGGCTTAACCATAAATGTAATAAACTGTCTATTTCCTCTGAGTCAAGGGGCCACAAACCATGCCATTGTCTTATTTCGTACAGGCAGGACAGGGACCCCGAAAATCAAATTGGAGGATTCGTTGCTCCAGNCACGCATGGTTAATAACAGCATACACACAGATGACCTGGTTACCTTAGACTCACAGAACTTGTTTCGTTCCCCGAAAACATCAATTGAATTATTGATCACGCATGTAAACATATGATTGACATAACTTATAATTATGCGAAACGATAATTTCTGATGTGCAAATACCACATTATCACTGCCGAAATCTTTTCATTTCTTTTAATACTGTCATTTCAATTTTTCACTGACCCCTTAGAGATCTAAGGACTTGTTTTATTTATAGTTACTATTTATATCATTAATAAAATTTCTATTTGTTTGAGCTAAATTGAGGTGCTACGGAACAGGTCTGAAATTTTCTGGATTCCGCAACAGGACAGAATTCCAAACGCTTTACACAACAATGATCAACTTAGAGACACTAAATTTCTAAAGTAATTGCTGACGCAACTGACTAGATTGACATGTTTCGGTCCACTTGTCATGTTGACGTATTTATCCTGTTTTTGTACTGAGTTAACAAGATTGTATGGTGCAAGCTTGTTGTTTTATTTTACTACTAGGAGATTGAACGACTGATCATTAGAGCAAGAAACATGCTTACCTTTCTATCTTCCACATTGTTTGTACTTAGCAGGGAAGACATCAGTGGTACCCTTGAGAACTGGAAAATCTCTCCATTTTGAAAGTTACTTTTTGCAAAACTTTGGAAGTCAAAGCTGGACAAATTATCAGGCTCTTGAATGTCATGCTTGCGAGAAATAAAGGGATGGTAAAGAAATTAATTCCTTAAGTTGGCGTCACAATTTACAAAATCATTCACCCATGGCAATTTTAAGCATCGCCTA